AAAAAAAGAAAGGCATGGACTTGCTTTGTTCACTGCCATATTCTTAGTGTCTAGAGCAGTGCCTGGCACATGTGGGTCCTCAATTCCTATGTCTGAATGAATGAATAAATGCAGGAAGAGTGGGAAAAGAGAAAACAGACACAGAACGGTAGAGACTCAGCAAATCAGAGAAACAGACAAAGTCAGAAAGAGAGGGAAAGATGGAGAAAGACTGAAGGAGAGAGAGAGACAGGGAAAGAGACAGAAGAAGAGATACGGGAAGGGACAGACAGACAGACTGAGAAAGGTCTGCTGGGAAGACAGGACGGTATCAGGGGATGGCACAGGGGTGCACAGGGACGGGGAAGGGGGGAGCAATTGCTGACTTGTCACCTGGGCAGTTCTGATGTCAGCGGGACAGTCTCTTGGTCAGAGGGGTTCCTGTATATTTCCGTTATTGGCCCAGCTTGTCCTGTAAGAGAGAATATTCAATTATTCTAGGAAGCCTATAAGGAGCAGCCCCATTCAAGAAGCTGCTTGTGGGGCTTCCCTGGTGGCGCAGTGGTTGAGAGTCCGCCTGCTGATGCAGGGGACGTGGGTTGATGCCCTGGTCCGGGAAGATCCCACATGCCGCGGAGCGGCTGGGCCCATAAGCCATGGCCGCTGAGCCTGCGCGTCCGGAACCTGTGCTCCGCGGTGGGAGAGGCTGCAATGGTGAGAGGCCCGCGTACCGCAAAAAAAAAAAGAAGAAGCTGCTTATGAACACCCGACCCCCCTTCGGACACGCACGTTCTGGGCCAGTGCCTTGCTGATCTGGGCCCGTTAGCGCTAATGAAAAGCTCTCAGCACCTGGGGCACTCCAGCTGGGGAGGCCTGCACTCCATGCCCGCCTTCTGCCCAGATGGCAGCTCCCGGGTGCCCTTGCTGGGGCCGCATGGGGAACCACATCTTCAAGAGACTTGTGGTTTCTGGCACGGGCTTCAGCTCTGCTGACACGCTACTGCATGTGGCTGATGAACGGGGAGAAGAGGGTGGGTGTGGTGGCCCGTACAACTGGATGCCCCCTGGATGCCCCCTGGGCATCTGCACTGATGCCTCAGCAGAGGGAGTGCTGGCAGAGCGCCGTAAATCAAACACCCTCCCCAGAAACTCTGACTCCCAGGGGAGAGAAATTTGATGCTGGAAAGGGTGCCTTAGGCTTTGCATAAGGATTTGCCAGAAGGCTCCTTTCCTCATTTCCACTGCCAGCTCCCAGCAGTGGGAATGGGGGTGTGATTTCAGCAGTCAAACGGGCCCAGATGGAGACTCCTGTTCTGTCACATGTGTGGGGAATTCCATAGCCGGCTGCTGCTCAAACACTGGGCTAGAGGACATTTCCAGGGAAAACCTGAGGTCTGGGGGAGCTTGGGCCGCAGTGGGCCTTCCCATGGGCAGGAAGGGGGAATTTCTGCGTCTTGGGTACCTGTTCAGATTTCTTCCCATTCTCATCAGTGGTGGGGATGAGGGGCGGTAGGTGAAAGATTCCTCTCCCTCCCTCCCTCCATCCCTCCATCCTTCCCTCCAACCCTCCATCCATCCCTCCCTCCATCCATCCATCCACCCATCTGCTCAGCAACTCCTACTTTGCGCTGGGTGCTGTGTTAGGAAATGGAGATACAAAGAAGCACGAACTCAACACTTGGGTGGCAGTGGGGGTAGGAGATTGGGGGAGGCAAGGGAAGGGATGATAATAGGGCTGGGGGCCCACAGGCAGGAGGACAAACTCCCCACTGGTGTAACTCCACTGGGGGCAGTTAGGGAGTTTTCACCGGGAAGGGGACAGTGCAGGGGAGTAAGTTTGGAGGGAGCGTAGAGGTGGGGATGGGCAGAGGTGGGGAAAGGCAGGAGAAGGGGCCCTCCTGAGAGCTCTCTGAGGCGTGATTTCAGCAGTCAAACGGGCCCAGATGGAGACTCCTGTTCTGTCACGTGTGGGGAATTCCGTAGCCGGCTGCTGCTCAAACACTGGGCTAGAGGACATTTCCGCTCCTAAACAGGAGAGTACCCCACTCCTGCTTAGCCTAAACGTACACACGTGGCAAGTTCCTCAGCTGCCTGCCTCGGTATCTGCTGTATGGCTTTGGGCTATATGCTTACATGCATGAGCTCATTAAATGCCAAGAACAACCCTAGGAAGTAGATATCATACCATCACCTCCATTTTACTATGGGGAAACCGAGACCTGGAGAAGGAAGTGACTTGTCCTTCATCACACAGCTAGTAAGTGATGGACCAAGAATCCACACCCAGCAGTCAGAATCAAAGCCAGCTTTCATGGAAAGGGCTGCCTTCACCCACATGATTATGGTGAATCCTCAAGACAGATCTGCAAGGTGGACTATTGCCCCATTTTATGGAAGGAAACTGAGGCTTAACTGTGGCAAAGCTGTTGCATCCTCTTGAGATTCGAGGCTCTTTCTAAAACTCCAGGCGAGATGTTAGAAAAACTGTGTTGGGGGCCAGGAGTGGGGAAGAAGGCAGAAGCCCAGCCCCATCTGAACAGTGACAGATCCCCTGAAATTGACCCCGGGGGTGTGGGGAAGGGAGGACACTGTCACTACCAGGCAGGACACTGCCACCTGGGTGGGCATCTGGGGGGAGAAGCCCCCGGGGTCTAGGCAAGGCCCAAGGAGCTCTGGGCTGGAACTCTATCCAGGGATGGCTTACAGGGCAAGATGAAGCCAACTCAGGGTCCTTCCTAGAGCTCGGGTTTCTGTGGCCTAAGGAATGGAAGCCCCAATGTCTAGTTCAGGAGATGCACCCCAGCCCCAGGGTTCAGGGAAGCAGGGAGGGGGTCATAGTTTTCTCTTACCCCCATTCTTCCCCTGCCCCGTCCCAGCCCTGGTGCCCCAAAAGCACCATCCTCTGCCCAGCATCTCAGGCTGGTGGTCATCTTGAGTGTGACACAAACCACCTTCCTCTGGACACTGAGACTGGGATGAGATGCCTGGGTGATGCAGAAGGCTCACCTGGGGGCGGGGAGGAGGTGCTGAGCTCCGTGTGAATCTCCAGCGTCTCCTCACCTCCTCTTCACCAGGATGCCCCCTCCCTGATTGTTTTCTCACCCAATGAAGATCTGCACTAAGGGGAAGCTGGGAAAGGATGGCCTGGGAGATGCCTGCCTGCTCAGCCATCACCACTGCTTCTGCACAGCCTGGGACGGCACCTGCCTTGGCCAGCACCCTGGAGACCTTCAGAAAGTCACTACTCTCCCTGAGACTCTAGGTGCTCCTATGAAAACTGTGATTCTCAGTTTTGAAGCCAAAGGTGTTTGTAAGAATTCATGAAATGAAGCTATATGATGTGAAAACTCTTGGAAGACACTTGGAAACACTGTTCCCATGGGGAGTTATTATTATCAGCATCCTCATATATTGAGAATAGGTGGAAGCCCAAACCATGTTCACTGGTTATCAGTGGAGGCGGGCGTGGGGCGGACCATGGACATCTGGCTTGGTCAGGATGGATATAAATATCTTTCCTTTAAATGGCCCCAAAGTCAAATTAGTTGCTCCAATTTTGTGATAATTGAGCCTAATAATAACTAGTAGTATCGAGCCTTTACCATGTACCAGACTCTGCTAAGCATTTCTCCTGCATCCTCTTATTTAATCTTCACCTAGGAGGTAGGTATCATTATTATCCCATTTTACAGATGAGGAAACTGAGGCTCAGTGAATATAATTAACTGGCCTGGATTCATTCATATGGTTAGTAAGACCACCTGGCCATGAATCAGGCCTCAGTCTGCTAGACTCCAAACCAGAGCACCTGATAAGACATTGATCCATGGACATGGCACAAGAGAGAGGACGCCAGAAAGAGGGGGTGCTATGCCCCAGTCTCCAAAGTTTCCAACCCAGTGCTGCTCTGCCCTGAATCAGGCGACCAGGCAGTGTCCCAGGGAGCTGGCTAGCATCCTCCCCCATGCCAGCTGGAGGCCTTTGGGGGATGACCCCATCCTGCCATCCCTTGACAGATGGGAGCCCTGAGGCCCAGAGAGGGGCAGAGACGGTGTGAGGTCACGCAGCACTGCTGTATTCTCCTCTGCAGGCCCCTGCCTGGGCCAGACAGCTTTATTAATCTTGTCAATCCCACTGCCCCAGATGGCGGCTCAGTCCCATCTGCATAGAGCAGGCCCAGGAGGGGTTCTCTGATTAAGAAGCACAGCTCAGTTCATAAATCACTCCTTTTACTTTCACCGCCCCCAGGCCCCGGGCATGCTTTCTGGAAAGAGAGAAAAGAAGGCAGGTGGACAGGGGCGATGGAGAAGCCCCCATCGGAGGAAGCAAATGTAGATCTGGGCTGGAGGGAGCCGAGAAACGTCTTGTCAGCACTCTGGCCAGGTGAGGGCGCTGTGGTGCAGGGAAGAGCCTCAGGGGGTCCCAGGGGAGCGGCCTCACCTGGGTCCCAACCAGTA